CTGTGTTAGGGAACTGCCTTGCGCTTCTGAAATAGTCAAATGTTAAAGTCACATTGCAAGAAAGGGAAAAACACTGCTAGCAAGAATTTCAAACATTCGATTTTTCTGTACGTTCCATTTTTAAAAGTCGGTGACAGGGTCTCTTTAACGGAAAACAAAAATTGCGCGACTGCCAGGATGGGGGATCTTCATGAAATATTTTTTTTTCTCATGTTCATAACGTCGCGGGTTCAACATGAGTGCTTGCATAAATCATATTATTTAAGCTAATATAAACCTAATTAGCGCAGCCTAAACGGTTGTCACCGTAAACGTGTTTTGAAAACAGGCAGCGCCAGGGAAGTGTATTGGCACCACAAATAGTGTCACACTCAGGATTCGACGTGTCTGATGCGTCTCGACGTGAGGCCTGACAAATCAACATTTCAGAAGGTAATTAACTTTAAAAACTTTCAATTAACAAGACAGCTGTTTTGAGGATCACGGCGTCAAAAATGCCTCAAAAAAAAACAAAACAACCAAGTGGCGAATCTGGTTTGCAGGCCTCTGTCTGTCTTGTTCTTGTGTCATGAAGCAGAGTAAACCTGCGCTGACTTTAATACTAGCGGATTCGGCAGGTCCCTTAAAGTGTATTTCCACTTTCGCAGTCAAATTCGAGAAAACCCCTCTATATGTTTGTTTTTCCCATTCACACTGTTTACCGAAAAATATTTTTTTCAAAAACATTTCTTACCTTTTCGATGTGTTGTTCTTTTTTGAAGCTCTGCGGTGCGTGCATCATAAAACAAATCCCAGTGAACAAAAAAGTGAACTGTGAAATCATTGCACACACAAAAAAAGTACATGAGGGTGCATTGGTCCTCTACTCCTCTACTGAAAAGGAGGGCCACAATATCCCTGAACCAAGAGGGCCACAATATCCGTGAACCACAGAGGTTTGGATACACGTCTTCTGCAGAAAATGTGAAAGCCGCACAGCCGCGCCAAGGCACCTCTTATAGTGCGGTCCTAACTCTAAATGATGAGAGTCTCGGCTGCCATTGGGATGTGCGGGATCCCTTGTGTGTTCCTGTGCCTTTAAGGAGGCCGGGCTTCCTCCTGACAAACCTGCACCCAATTTGAAATCTTCTGCCCCCATGTGCTCCAAGATGGAGACTCTCATAGTTTAGAGTTAGGATCTCAGCTGCCATCATAAAACAAACCCCGGTGAACAAAAAAAGCGAACAGTGAAGTCACTGCCCACACAAAAAAAGTACATGAGGGTGCATTGGTCCTCTACTCCTCTACTGAAAAAGAGGGCCACAATATCCAAAAAAAAATACATGAGGGTGCATTGGTCCTCTACTTAAAAAGAAGACCAAGTACTAGGTAGGGCCTCTCCCGTTAAAGACCTGTTAAGGCTACAGATCCTCCTCCCAATATCAGGGCGGGCCCCTCAAAGACATGCACCCTGACAGTGGCAAGGCACTCTAGTCGACCTAACCATTAAGACAGACAGAACTCAGCAAGACAGATCATTAGGAACCAGCTGAAGCTGGTCCACCGACTACTAGGTAGGGGCTCTCCCAAAGAGAGACTAAAGAGGAGAAGGAAAAAACCCTCCCCCCAACATGAGGGCAAGCCCTTGAAAGACCTGCAACCTCCATCTCTGTGGAATGAAAGGAGGAGGGGGGAAACAGGGAGCGCGGAGTGACTTGCCTTGATGTGCCTGTGCATTTGTAGAGACACACACTGCTTATTAGCACACACAAGGGTGGCTTTGTAGGACCCTGCAAAGGTAAGGAGCAATTCTAAAACAAGATATCAAGGCCAGTTCTCACCTTTTGACAAAACCTTTTGACTTTATCAGGGGCGTTCCAAGGCCGGGTGTCAGCCGGAGAGGTTAACAGCTGACACCCCGCCGTGACATCACCGCTCGTGATGTCAACACGCACGTGCACTATGACGTCATCGTGCATGCGCGCTGGGTTCCCTCCTCTCTCCCGAAACTGTCAGGCGCCCGGTCCATGACCGAGTGCCCAACTTTTCAGAGGGGGGTGACACCAAAATGATTGTCAGTCATTTTGGTGTCACCCCTCCAATGGTTTCACCCGGGTGCGGGCCGCACCCCCCACACCCCCCTTGTGATGCCACTGGACTTTAATATCACTATAAACTGTGTAGTGAAAGGATAAAAAACTTGCTTCATGCCTACAGTTTTCTCTGCATGGGGCACCACAACAGGTTTTTGTTAATGTCTCTTTAAGGACACAGTAGGGGGAGGAGCCGTCAAACCAGTGGAAGAAAATTGGTTGTCTTGAAATCAATTTTGGGTGAGTGGGATCATCCTTCAATAGCCGTAAATGCGCGTCGATGTGAAATGTATCTTTCTCCAGTGGACAAATATTTAAGCAATATTCCGCCTGTTTACCTTGCGAGGCATCTGACAGAAATAGCGGCTTTCCTGATGACATTTTAACAAGGTTCGTCTTAATGGGTTTGACATTTTTCCAGACCTTAGGGCTTATTTAAGGCGAAAGTCTCTTGTGCAATTCTAACCGGAGTCTCTGAATTCATAATTAAATCGGTGCAAAGTGTCACTTTTGATTACTTTACAGGAGTTGTCTATGTAATTAGCATTTTTGTTATCTGAACGGAGAGATGAGTGAAAAATTCCCTAGGACTTGCATGAAAGACGGTCTCGCGAATGATCCTCTGCATGCTCAATAATGTTTTTACCAACGTCCATTACAAAAAGTTTTTGTAGAAATACCCGGCGATTGGGCATTCAAGAGAAATCTGGTACCTGGAGGACTTTTCCTGACCAGGCACCCACATGTATGAATGTATCTTAAAGTCAAGAAGTGTATGTAATAAGCAGCACTTAGCAGTGAAAGGGAACCAACTGGACATCACGTGAAATCTCCCAACATAATTTTTCCAATTTTACTCAATGGTGATGGTCAAAGGGTATCTTCCTTTTTCTACAGTAGGCCTTGGGTAGGGTTGGGTACCATTCACTTCCATTAAAATTGGAAGCATTAGAGGATAACAATGAGTATAAGTGTAAAATCTTTGGGTGCCTTAAAGTGTAACTAAAGCAAATACCTATTATTGTTTAGGATGGACTGGTGCAGTTATAGGTTATATTGCCATCTTTGCCCTGGGATGAGAGATTCAGTCTTACTAGTTGTCGTGATACCAGGACAAAAATGATGAGAGACAAGGTCAGGTCCTCCATTTTCATAATGTCATAGACTGCACAGACACAGATCCATTTGCCAATGGAGGAAGCCGTGGAGTGCCTCCATTTGGCTGATATACATGGGAGGTGGGGTCTTTCCATTTGGGTGGTACACATGGGAGGTGGAGTATTTCCATATGGCTGGTATACATGGGATGTGGAGACTTTCCATATGGCTGGTATACATGGGATGTGCCGTCTTTCCATTGGGCTGGTACACATGGGAGGTGCAGTGTTTTCATATTGCTGGTATACAGGGAAGGTGGAGTCTTTCCATGTGGTGGATATACATGGGAGGTGAAGTCTTTCCATATGGTGGATATACATGGGAGGTGGGGTCTTTCTATTAGGCTGGTCAATGAATCTTTCCATTTGGCTGGTATACATGCTGTAGCTGCATTCAGAAGTTGTATCAAAAGGGAGAGTGGAAAAAAAAATTCCAAAAGACTTGGTTTTACTGGCAGCAGTTCTATTTCTCTGCCAAATACAAAACCATCGCCACAAGCTAATGCTGAGACAGATATAAAGTAGTGAAGTAGATCTGACAAGAGCACTTATTTCCTGCTTACCCATCCTACATGTCCCCTTTTTTCCCTAAGTACCTATTAACCGTTCCACTTTCTATCTCCCCCTGTGCTCTCCCACTTCCTTTAACCCTTCCTTCTTAAGTCCTTACACCTTCTTACCCTTCCCCACCCTATCAGCACCCCCCACTCACTCCAACATTACACAAATAGAAAGTGAGTAGGGTACTGTGTAGGCCCTGGTCCACTCTGAGACCTATACAGTAATGTGTTCTCACCATACTTTCACTGTTCTTGGATAGATGGAGCCTTAATATAAAGCTCCTGATGGTTACTACTGGGATTCTGCACTATTGACTTATGTATCCTTATGTATTGGCAGCATGGTGCTTTGTATTTGTATATGTGATGTATATGTAATGTCGTATGCTCAGTTGTGAACCCAAAAAGAATAGAAAAAAATGAGAAATTAACAATGTTATAGTTGTCACCAAACAGTAGGGTAAATCTTCCAAAGCTGATGCCTTTTCTGGTGACAAATGTCTCACTTTGGAGAGATTTCCTATAACATCCTACGGTGTCTGCAGAACAGAAGGTGAAGAGAGACCTCCTCGATGGGACACAGTCAACAACAACAACAAAAAAACAACATCACTCTTACAGAGGCTTTAATTATTCTCCACTCTTGGATGGAGTATTGAAGTGGTCATGCCAGTATCAGTTTATTTTTTGCTTCCTGTGTCCCCATGCAGACATTTTTCTCCACTTTCTGTCCAGGAAAAGACCAGGAAGTGAGAGTAAATCTCTAGCGATAGATCGAAATAGACAATTTTCCCCAGAATAGGTGTCACCAAAAATAGGGTAAGTCTTCCAATGAGGACACCTATTCTGGGGAAAACTCTCTATTTCGATCTATCGCTAGAGATTTACTCTCACTTCCTGGTCTTTTCCTGGACAGAAAGGGGAGGAAAATTTCTGCAAGGAGGCAAAAAAATAAACTGATTGCTGCCCCCCACCATGTAGAGTCACCGTCGCTATTCTAAAAAGTTGAACTTCCCATCACTTTCTTTCTTAGAGAAAATGGTCACCAGGATGAATAGCGATGGTGACTCTACATGGTGGGGGCAGCAAAAACTGGACAAAGGCTCTAATTCTTCACTCTATCCAAAAATGTTAAAAAATAGTTTTGGCTACATGCTTGAAATGATAACCAAACATTGACAAATATTCATTGCGTTTGTCTCTTCTCACAGGTCAAAGGCCTTTCCAATGCAGATACTGTCCATACAGTGCCTCTCAGAAGGGAAATCTGAAAACTCATGTCCTCTGTGTCCATCGGATGCCTTTTGACAACAGTCAGTACCCGGACCGAAGGTTCAAGCGCTCCCGCATTGACCTAGAGACTTCGGCCTATCCTGAGGACCACCCGCCTGCCAAACTCGGCAGCTCGATGCAGCCGCCGGCAGAAGGCATTAATTCCCTGGAGTAATGCCCTCCAACCAACGCTCCTGTACATTGCAATATCACTTTAACTAGTGTTCAAGGACTGTTTTAGACATGGAACAATTCCCAAGTCCATTCAATGGAGGGGATACCTTGAAAGCGAGCAGTAGACTTTGAATGTCTCTAACCCCGCCTCTTAAAAAAAATGGCTGCAGGACTGTTATTTATTTTTTCAAACAGACGAGATTTTTTTTGGATGATACAGCGTAACCAGAAGGCCAACGTTACAAGATTTTCAATCTTTGTCCGATCTTGAATGCTTTTATAAATAAAATGATACAAGTAATGAAATCAGTTGGTAGTCTGCCATGGTGCCAGCCTGACTGGAGCTGTCATTAAGAAAAAGAAATCAATTGAGTTGGTGTTGCAACAGCACTGTACTAGAAATCCAAGACAAGGCCCTGGTCACCGCTGGCCTATTGAAAAACATTACAATATTCCATTTTCCGCGTCTCTCCTCTAGATGCAGACAAACAAACAGTTTTGATAGAAGAGAGCCCTTTGTTACATTCCACCGTTGCCTTTTTTTTTAATCACTTGAAATCAATGTTTAGAACAAGATTTATTATTACTTTGATATTCTTTTAAAATGTTATTCTTTACTGAACGACATACTTATCCTGGCCAGAGGAGGTCCAAGTAAGAATAACAGCTGTATAAAAAAATCATTTTCACTGAAAACTATTTTAAATTGAATTTAATAAAAAAAAAATGTAAGTGACACTAAATTCAGGAGTTAAATCTTACAAATACATTCAAGTACCATAACTATTAACAACAATATATCTTATTTGTATATCACTCGGCTGTAGATCCTCACTACTTTTGTTCCCCATGGTCCCTGTGTGTATTGTAAAGTAGTCACCACTCCAAGCTCGCTCCTGTGATGGACTACAATCTCATGTTATTAATATATATATATATATACACAGTGGTACCTCGGTTCACAAACGCTTCTGTTCGAGAACAATTCGCTTCGCGAACAGAAAGTTCGGCAAAATTTTGCTTCCGTTCGCGAACTCTGCTTCAGGTGACGAACACGACCGCAGCCATCTTCCCCGCTTCTGACACATGGTCATGGCTTCCTCTAGTCGAGATCGCGGTCTGATCACAGTTTGATTCGGTTCGCGACCAGAATCGTGGAAAGTTGAAGAATGTCTTCTTAAAAAAAAGAGAAATGATGACACAGTAGATCAGAGTATTTTCGCTAGGCTGAGACCGGGGTGTTGATCCTAACAGCCTTAAAACTTTCACTCTGCCTAAAGCAGTTTGCAAAACTATTAAACTGCAATCGATGTAAATAGAATCAGTAGACTCTGCACTGAGAATGGAAGCCTAGTCTATATAATTTTTTTTTCTAGTATAGTTCTCACTGCCTTACTTATATATCAAGTTGAATACAATAAAAAAACAAATAAATGCAACTGTTTCTATGATCCTCAAGAAGTTGAAAAAAAGATTAAATGTCGTGGAGAACTTTTGACTGCAGTAAGCTTTAGAATTTTAACTGCACTACTGTGTTTTATTTGGTGACTGTCAGTTGCTTGCTTTGTGTGTTTGCGATGCCTTTAATATCTTAGAAAAAAACATAAGAGAGGGAAAAAAAGATCATGTATAAAAAAAATAAAAAATTAAAAGAAAAAAAAAAACACACACATTCCATTAAATGCACTTTTGATCTGTTTTTGTATTTTTTTGAGAATTTCCCAAGGAGACAGGCAATAATTCTGTTTGTGACACTGGAAATATTTCCTTCTTCCTGTTCTTTGTGATGTGCGTGTATGTTGATCCCATGGTCTGGTGCTACTGCTGCCCCCCTCCTCCCCTCCTTGATACAACATAGAAAATTTTTTATTTTTTTTTCCCTCCTCTTTGAGAACATTTGTAACTTGTAATACAAGCAAGTGACAGTGCCAGTGATCCATTGTCAGTTTCTGAATATCTTCATGCTTTTCATATCTAAACATGTCATGTTTTTTCTCTGTAACTCCTGTTGTCTGTGGTCATAATATTGTCTACGCTCCTACATGGAAAGATGAAAAAAATAAATAAAAAATTAAATTCCATCTTGGAGTGAAATCCAAGATTGATAGAGTAGAGGAATCTGTTGCTATGCTTGTAACAAGTAGAAGAGTTTGTATTTAAAGTTTATTCTTGTTCCTTATTTATTATTAAAATACATCAGTTGACATAAATTAATTATTGTACAAATTATTGTTTTCATGAAATGACTTTAAAGCAGTCTAGTTCTGCCTTTCTCAACCATTATGTGCCATGACACCCTGGGGGGCCTTCATGCTTCCTGAGGGGTGCCTCGAAAACTTGTGATGGTAGGACTCTGATAAAAAGGGGGACTAAGGACTCTGATATAAAGGGGGACTGAGGACTCTGATATAAAGGGGGACTGAGGACTCTGATATGAAGGGGACTGAGGACTCTGATATAAAGGGGACTGAGGACTCTGGTATAAAGGGGGACTGAGGACTCTGATATAAAGGGGGACTGAGGACTCTGATATAAGGGGGGACTGAGGACTCTGATATAAAGGGGGACTGAGCACTCTGATATGAAGGGGGACTGAGGACTCTGATGTGAAGAGGGTATTGAGGACTCTGATGTGAAGAGGGGACTGAGGACTCCAATGTGGAGGGAGGACTGAGGACTGTGATGTGAAGAGGGGACTGAAGACTCTGGTGTGAAGAGGGGACTGAAGACTTTGATGTGAAGAGGACTCTAATGTGAGGAGGGGACTGAAGACTCTGATGTGAAGAGGGGCTGTGGACTTTGATGTGAAAATGGGGAGGACTCTGATGTGAAGGGGACTGAGGACTCTGATATGAAGAGGGAACTGAGGACTCTGATATAAAGGGGACTGCAGACTCTGATGCAGACTCTGATATGAAGAGGACTGAGGACTCTGATATAAAGGGGACTGAGGACTCTGATATAAAGGGGACTGAGGACTCTGATATGAAGGGGACTGAGGACTCTGATATGAAGGGGACTGAGCACTCTGATATGAAGGGGGGACTGAGGACTCTGTTATGAAGGGGCCTCCCTCCTTAACCACAGACGGGCCCCTGGGTGATATCTTCATTCAGAAGGTCAGCCCAAGTATACGATGTGAAATTAAAAATATCAATCACCAATACAAACAATAAAGTCATATTAAACTCTCAATCATTTTCAATAATAAATCCGGATCAAGCAATACACATCGCCCAGCAAAGGATTTCTTTACGTTTCTGCCCAAGCACTTACAGTCATCATGTTTCCAAACGGCTCCAACTCTCTCACCTCAGCTTCCCTGAAACAACAAGGATCCATTGTAAGTGATTTCATCAGCATTTGGAAATAGCTTAGAAACCTTTCAAGACACAATTTATTGTGTGACCATTTTTTAATTCTTTAGTAAATCTGCCAATCCAGTACACTGCAGAGCACAGGAGGCCTCTTCTCTTTCCTCCTTCTGAGTTGTCACCTACCATGTTGGGTGACTGGCTGGTCCAATTTCCATACTCTGGTCAAAACGTATTTCTTCCTGCACACAAGTTCTTTCATAGCAGCTCTGGAAATAAGGAACCAGGTCAATGCTCTTTGCTTAAAAAGTCAAAAAGGGTATTAGAGAAAGGAAACATATTGATTGGAAGATCAAGCACAGACTTGAGCCAGGTATATCCAGGGCCAGATGTACTCTCTCTGCTGCCCCAAGGCCAGGTTCCTCTATGTGAATACACTGCAAACAGAGTGCAGCAGAGTGGCCGGGCCACTTGGCCTGCCCCTACCGTGTGACCCAGAAAGCAGCCTCAGGCTGCCACATTGAAGGAATGTCCCTGGCTTTAGATATACTTTAAATCTGAGATTTTAATGGTTAGGTTTACATCGCGTGGGTGTTTCAGCCAATATTGACTTTGGTATTCTCCTTTTATTGGTCTATATATGGCGATTTGCCGATTTTTTTTTTTTAAAGATATCCTTCTGGTTTTTGGATAATGGAGCTCAGTTCAATCCCATGCCAAGTGGCTCACCTCCAGCTCCCATAGGCTACTGGGTAAACCCACAAGTTTTGTTACTGAATCTCCTCCCGCGCAAGCCCCCAAAAACATTCACAGAGACGGCAATTTCCAAAGGGATGGTAAAAAGCGCCGGCGGCCGGAAGGGATTTTTAACAAGCCGTGCCTTTCCTCACCTGTTGGTGTTGCTGTACGTGTAAAAATCAGGGAGCCTCGGATGCAGAGGAGGGGGGCATCGGAAATTTAAATGACCCAGACTGAACTGTTTTGCTGTTAATACAGGCATACCGTGCAAGACACATTTAATGGGCTTTATTTTTTATTGTCCTATGCTGAATAATTAAGTTTGAGGCAAAGTGTCACATGGATTTATCTTTTAATTAAAAAAAGCATGGTTCGTGCAGATCTGAGTGCTAGTCCAAATAAAGGCAATATCGAAATTTATGCTTGTTTATCTAGGTGTTAATTACCTAGAGATTGTTCGGGATTTCTCTTTTTTATAAAGTGTCACGGGTTCGTGTCACCCGTAATAAAGTTTAACTGTGGAACCTTATCAATTTGCTAAGTACAGTTCAAGTGTGACCACTGGAATGAATAAGTCCTTCCCATGATGCCACGGGGGAGATCCGAGCAGGGTAAGGAAATGCCGCAGCGATGGAAATCAATCTCTCTTCCTTTTTTTTAAGCCGTAAGTAAATAGATTCTGTTGCATATCTGACAAAGCTGCGTCTGGTGAGCGTGGCATTGTTTGGTTGATGTGGGTCCGAGGTCTGTGCATGTTGTAATTTCCGGCAGGGCAATCATTTTAATGCAAATGGCATTGATGATGATGAGCTATTAACAGAACCCTCGCAGCAATTAAAGGGAGATTATTTATTTGTTTGTTTCAAATCAGGTTAGTAAAGAACCAGGGTTCATAATGAACTAGGACAATCGCCAGTTTGCTCTGCTGGAATGATTCATTGAATTGACAAAGGGGTCCTTGCAGAGTGTCCATTCCCAATTCGTCAAATCTGATGCGTTTCTTGGCAGTGAAATGTCCAAAGGCCACTGCCCCCCTGACCAATAAGCCCCTGAAGATTGGTGGGTGCTGTGGTGGTATCACCTACCTGA